ATTTCCTAAAATCCACATGGAAGCACAAATGGCTTTAAACACCTGGACATATATAGATTTTTCATCTTTATATATATATTTATAGATATTTATAACAGTAAAGATATGTTTCTCATTACTACAATATACTTGTTTAACTCCTCTAAGCAGCTGGGAAGAAAAAAAAAACAAAACAGTTTCACTACAATCACATCTGATATGCGTGTGTCACAAAATACAAACAAAACAAGCCATGTGTGAGATTCGAGTCAGACCATTCCAGGACAGAACAGCTAAGAGGCAGGCAAAGAGTCTCAGAGGGAGCAGGCCTACATGTCAAATGGTGGTTTTGGGCTCTCTGGGCGAGAGGGACTGGCCTTACCCGGCCGGCTGGAGTTTAAAGACAAGAAAAACAAAGAAAAAAGGAAAAGGGGAAGGGAAGGAAAAGGGGGAGAAGTAGTAAAACAATAGTTAAAATACAGAAAGGAACCGGCATCAGAACAATCGAGGATCCGCTACAGAAATTAAGAGCAATAGCACTGAAACAAGAGAACTTAAATCAGGCCTCACTGAACGCCTGCAACACAATTGGCTCATTTAGCTCTGGTAGAGACATGACATCCAAGATGTACAGGGTTGATATATTTTTAATTCTCAAGTCTTTTTTCTTTTTTTAATACATGTAGCATGAAAAGAAAAAAACAAACCTTAAGAAGATGAGTTGCAATCAACAACGGTTACAAGTTTTCCCAAACACGTACCATCCACATGCAAGGAGAAAAGGCTACGGAAGAAGTCACCACAGTACCCAAACCACACTGAAGGATGTGCTTATTCAAAGCAGAAGTATTTTCAACAAAACATTACACAGCAAACTCCCTGAAAACATTTGGTTGTCCGTTTGCAAGGGGGGAGCAGCATATCTATTCCCCTCTCCCTGCTGGGTTCAGGAAAGTCAGCCAAAGCTGATGATGCGAGACAAGTGCTGGCAGGAGCCAGCGCGTCACCAGCAGGATTTCCCCGGCTCTTTTGGGGAGCTGCGTGCGAGCAGGTCCGTGCGCTCCCTGCACGCTGAGGTGTGTGCGCTATCTCAGCCTTCACTCTAGCAGGACCGGGCCGATCCATTGAGTTTCCCCCCTTTGTTCATCTCCCTGCCTCACTTTGATATAAGGTTGATTGCACTGTTCCCAACATGAATGTTTGCACCTTAGAAGTCAAACTAATACACAGAACATTTATCTGTTCCTAATGGTGTCACATTTTGACAGTATTTTTCTTCTAAGTCACACTTTTGTCTTCTTAACTACAAGAAAAGAAAATGGCTACAGATCAGTCCTAGGTGCTACAGCTAACTGGTGCAGGCAGGACACTTATCCAGGCTAGACCAGGCAGATGAAGTTACTGGACAGCCAGCCACCACTTGGACTTCAGGATGGCCCTGCGGCTGATCTCTGCCAGGAGCCTGCGTACTTCAGGGATCCATGCCACTGAATGAAGGCTACTCTACGCTCACAAAGCAATACAGGACGCACGAGTGAAGACGAAGAGCTCTGTCACTAGGCTAGTGTTTCACGACACACCAGGAAGGGGTGGTGGGAGGCAGAGATGTGGGATGGATGAGAGGAGTGACTGTGGCTGTGGAAGGGAGGGTGGAATGGGGAAGCCGCCAGCACGGCGTTCGTCGCCAGCTGTCTACAGCCTCGAGTTATAAATCTAAGAGGGACGGTTCAGCCGGTCGGATTATGGTAGGTCGAGTAGGTGAGGCGGGGCCCCTTCTGCTGTGAAAAAGCAGA